TGGGAGTGTCTTTAAACTCAGTGGAAAAACAGGAGGGTTTTTTCTAAAGGGTTAGGGGTGCAGGGGTCTTGTAACTTGACAGCTTTAAGACTTGCGTGCTTCAAATGCCAGAGTTTCTGAGCCAACATTTTGGTTGCTAAGCAAGAACGTTGTTAAGTGAGTTTCATCACATTTTACAAGTTGACCACTCCCACCCGGTCACATGACTGCAAAGCCACTCCCACCCAGTCACATGACTGCCAAACCACTCCCACAAAGCAGGCCACACCTACAGAATATGTTCTAAAAAATTTGAAACCCACCACTGGTATGAGCCCAAGGAAAGATGCAGCTACTTTAAAAACATTGCAAACAAATGCTCTATTTCATATTCTTATGTTCTTTGATGCCTATTTTTGGAACCAGATATGAAGCTCTCAGAGTATTTAATAAACTTTTTATTGCTATGATTCTTTAAAACTTATGAGCATTATATTTGATTACTGGTAAGAAAATATGCCTCATCCTGCTCTTTACTCAAGCCAGAGTTTTCCTCTCTCAGAATCCTTGGAACTTTTACTAGAATGCATCCCCCCTCACTATGGTAGCTTTTGCAGTAACATGCAATCATGTTTGGAGTTATCGAGGAAAACATCTAGTAAAATGGCTAATGGAATCTCATTTCACCAACAGAACTGGGGGTCTTTAAACTCAGTGGAAAAACAGGATGCAGGCCACGCCCACCCCAGCTCCGCGAAGGGAAAAAAGTCACGATACATCATGTGACAGCAACGTGACGCACAGCAAGTTGGATACCCATGATCTTGGACACTAAATGTGAATGATTGTCCTTGAATTCTTATTGTAATGTGAAACCAACATTAGGTCTAGATTTGACTGTAGGATTAGGCATCTGGGCAATAAATACAAATCAGGTGCTTATTTGATATGAACTTCTTCTAGTATCTACACTACAATTAGCTACGATTAGTATATCTCCAGCCAAACAGAGTCTGACTTTTTAAAAACCCTTTCTGCTTGTGCCATTTGACTTGGCAGGAAATGCTGTTGATATGACCAAAGAATGAATGGTTGGCAGGAACAGAAAAGTTCTTTGATTCCCTTTTTGCCCTGTTCCTTTGTAATCAGCTTCACACTTACAGAATTCTAGCTGAATGTTGTTTATACAGCTTTGAATGTCAGGTAGTTCTTATTCAAGGATGAGAACAATGCATCCTCAACAGCAAGGCTAAAGGCCACAAAGGATTTTTTTTAAACCCATAACACTGGGAAAAACTGATGTGTTCATTCCGTGGCAACGTTAAAAGAATGTCATGACATGGTTAAAGCACTCTGGCCATTCTGAGTTACAGGTCTGAAATGGTAGGAAGGGAAATAACCATAAAGTTATACAAAGTACTCAAATGATAACAAGAAGATGTTAATGGCATAAGAATATTAATTGGAGGCCACCTCTAATAGCATCAGAACAAGTGGAAGCACCGAGCCCGTGATGGTGAACCTATGGCACGCGGACTTCAGGTGACACGCCGAGCCATCTCTGAGGGCACGCAAATCGTTGCCATAGGTCAGCTGCAGTGCACATGCGCACGCCAGCCAGATTATTTTTGGCCTTCGAAGGGCCGGGGGATGCTGTTTTTGCCCTCCCCAGGCTTCAGGAAAGCATCTGAAGCCTGGGAAAGGCGAAAAATGGGCCTACTGGAAGTTCACAAGCAGGCCATTTCCAGCTTCGGGAGGGCTGCATTGACCCTGGTCTTAATGAAGCACAGTGGTCCAAAGTCCTCTTTTCTGTTTTCAACTTTTGCATCTCATTTGGAAACCAAGGACCCAGAGTATGGAGGAAGAGGCCAATCAAGCACAGTAATCCCACGGTCATTGAACCAGTTTTTAGTGCTTTTGGCAAAAGTTGCTCTCATCAGAAAAGAGGACTTTGGACCACTGAGCAACATGACTTTGGACCACTGTGCTTCATTAAGACCAGGGGC